AAACAGAAAAAAAAAAAGGCTTCATTAATTTGAAAACAGCCCAGCCCAGTGAGAAGTCTTGAAACCGAAAACAAAAACATTCGGTAACTCTGTAACCTGTCACTCCTTGCAGTAGCCCAAGAAAGCCCAACATAACCAATATTTATTTATTTTTGGGTTTGTTCTCTTTTCCGAGAAATTGGAGCGCATAATCTCCAATTTACAGAGCAAATCTGCTCGCCATTTTTCCAGAGGAAAATTTGTGTGATTCTTCAGGAAGCAGAAACGGAACGAAGAAGCAGTGGAAGTGGAGAAAGCATGAGCTACAGAAGGTAAAGATTTCATCAGTTTTACTGATCGCCGGTTTATTGCTTGCATTTGCATACTCTCAATGCGATTCATTCAGTTCTTCCTAGGGTTTTCCAGCTTTTCTGTTCGGATTTGTTGTTATTTTCCTTTTGTGAAATCATTACCGATCTTAGAAACACATACGACGATGAAATGAGCCTAGACTGCTTCAAGTTTTTTTGCCTGAACATGGAGATCAGGGAGCATTGTTTGCAGCTCGTTAATGTTTGCTTTTAGAGATGAATTTTCGGAATGACATTCTATGATTTGGTCACTATTTTTGTAGGGAGCATCGTGCTTCGAGATCAGCCCTGTTTGATGGACTTGATAGCCTTGAGGAGGGTGGTCTCAGGGCCTCCAGTTCATACCCTGGTGAAGTTAGAGAGCGTGACAACGACAAAGCTATGGATAGTTAGCAGGACCGAGTTTCTTTTCTCAAAAGAGTAAGCTTCATTTGGCCTTATTTCAAACTCCTGTCAATCTAGGTGCAACTATGGTGTTACCGACATACTTTAATGATTCACATTTCTAGTTATCGGATTGGCATTTAGGATGAACCACTGGGAAGATGTGCAATGTGAATCACAATCATTTTCTTGATGGTAATATATTCATCATACATACTTTCCAATTATTCGCTCTGTTGCCTTGATAGAGTTGAAGTAGATACTAGATCAGGTTTATAGAGTTAGTTCACTTTATTGCAGTTTTTTTCCATAATATTAAGCCGTTGTTGGATATAGGATAGCATGTCGAGTACTCTAGATGCTTAATTTTGCTTTAGCTTCCAGCAAATTGCTGGCATGATTGCTTAAGTGTGATCAATTGAGTTGTTGGCATAAAGAAAACATGCATTGTGTCCCTTAACGATAATTGAACACTGATTATTTATTTATATTCTATGCTGGTCAATTTTATGAACAAAACAAATTCCCTAAAATTTATGTTTTGTTAAACTCTTCTTGTAGCAAACCTATTATATATATATGGTTCCTTTCAGTTAACAGGTGATATACATGAGGAGGTGGAGAGTCACAATCGTTTGCTTGACAAAATGGTTAGTAAGTGGCAATTGAACCTTTAACTTCCAATTTGTTTGAATATGCTTTTTTTTTTTCTTCTTTTTTTGATGGATTTTGTTGTGAACCAGGGCAACAACATGGATACAACAAGAGGTGTAATGTCAGGCACCATGGATCAGTTCAAGAAGGTACCTAAGCTGGATTGGCTCCTGTTCTTTTATATTTTTATTTTAGTTGCAGCTGTTTGAAAATGGCTTAATATTTTGTCTTTGCTTGTCCTTAGGTATTTGCAAAGAAATCCAACCGTAGAATGTGTACTCTTGTGACAAGTTTCATTGTTGGGTTTATAGTTTTATACTATCTCATTAGGTAAGTTACAATTTTGGTTGCAACATTCATTCTATGCACTTGAAGTTGAAGCTTCAACATACAAACCTCCCCTCAATATTTCAAAATAGTTTGGTTTAGTTATATCAAAGATTTGCCTAAAGTACCAGAATAATTGTGGAATTCATTGCATTACTCATCTCTGATAGTCATGCCATCAATGATGATATCTTGAGTTGAACATTTCCATGCACATATGATTATTTTCAAGTGAACTTGTGGAGTTTGTCTTTTTCTTAGTGATCTATAGCCATTATAAGTAATAAGATCTCTTAAAACTCTTCAGCTGTAGAGATATCCTTGTTTCAACAATCTCTTTTCCTGACCTAGTAAATCTAGAATCGAAGGGAATCTTTGCCTGAGTAAGATTTCTTTACCTAGAAAGGCATGACATGAGAAAGAAAGAACCCTGAAAATCTTCATGCTTGTTATTCAAGATTACTTGGTGTTAAAGCTTTGCAGTAGAAATGAAAATAAAAAGAAATATATTTCATTTCTGCACGGTTCATGCGCTGATTAGTCTTTTGTTTGCAGGATTCTCGGGTATGTACATGGTTGAAAGTTCTTGAAGTTAGTCCTTATACACGATTGAAGCATAAATCGAGCATACTAGGGGATTCAAAGCCCTTAATTTACCTCTTCTTTTTTTTTTTAGAATATGGTACAGAACTGAAGCTTTTTTACTTTCTGCTAACATATTTGCTCGACACTAAGTTGAAAGGCAAATTGGTTCCTAGGGACTGAAGGTTGTGAACGCTGTAATTGTTTGACCCCTCAAAAAGGAGAAGTGTAAGAAAAAGAGAGGGAAAAAGTATGATTATATAATGAAAGTGTAAGAAAAATGAGACTATTTTGTCAAATCAAAGGCTGTTCTCAAAAGTCTTATTTTTTATATAAATATATATATAGTGGTTTACTTACATGTTTCATACATTATATTTATATATAAAATTTTAGTTTTTTTTTTTTATTATCAATGGTAAAGATCTATCATAAATTTTAAGATAAAAAAGATAATTATTTTTAATAAAAATAAATAAATTTTAATTATTAAAAATAAAAAAATAAATAATTGAGATTTTATATAATTATAACATGAAAAATTTATATGTAAGTAAATTTTTAATTCATGTATATGTATATATGGAACGGCATCTTAATCACATGAATGAAACTGTACTTATGCATTCTCTTGTTATGGTTCATTGGTGGTCATTACAGCTCAACAAGGCTGTCGGTGGATTGTACTCCTGATCAGTAGTCGAATCTTGCTAAAGAATAAGGTATTAATTTCTAATTTCTAACTTTTAACTATTGTCCTTGTCCAAAAATATATATATATATATATATATATATATATATA